TTTTCTAAGTGTGGAGTTTGTGAACTGTGAAAGAAACCATTGTATGTTCATTGTCCACCTTGGCCCATCTATATTACCCCCGTGGAACTTGGGGGGCACAAAGAACAAGATTCAAATATGCTTCTGCTTGCAGCACTTTGAGTAATAGAGCCCTCAGCTATTATAGAGGAGTTTTGTCTTCCACAAATATGAATGAAATTGTGGCAGGCTTAAAACTAAGACCCTTCGGAATTCTTGCTATTGTTCTAGCAGATTCATGAAGTGGAAAGAATGCAGACTTTAGCCTATACAAGAGTTTCAATTCAGTCACTTATGTACTTTGTGATCTTAAAAAATTAATAGTCTCTCTCTCTGTTTCCACAACTGGAAATAAAGAAAAAATATTTTCTTGGTGTATATTACATTGTGGATTCAATTCACAAATTTTTACTTTTAAACTCATATGTTCACCAACTAATTTGATTAATTGAAGATACTCAAGTCTCTAAATTTCTTATTTGTTTCTAGAAGTACAATTTTCATATTTTAAAAATTCTTGCTATGGGAACAACTTCTGAAATAAAATAAATTTAATTAGGGTATATACTTTAAAAAAAGATCAGAACAAGACTGAAGTTCAAGGGTAGGAGAAAATGAATGTCCAGGCTCAAAAAGAGAGGATGAATGTCCCTTCCTTCATCACAGTGTTCATTTGTCAATGGATGGGGTGATGTTCACCCACACTGGTAAACATGATTTCCTTTATCAGTCTTTTAAATTCAATTACAATGTCTACAAACCACCCACCCAGTCATACACAGAAAAAATATTTTCCAATAATTTTATCTTCCCTTTATCAGTCATACTGACATCTATAATTAATTATCACAATAACAGAAAACACAAAATTATAAATTAGCACATCTGAAAGTGTGGTTAGCACAACAGTCATTATTCTAGTTGCTATTTCTAAAATTTATAAATTCTTGATTTAACAGAGTTTTAGATTTCTATGCTGCAAAATCAC